TTGGGCAAAAACAGGACATCTGCCCTAATCCGGAGGCGACTGTGTGCGAGCGGTGTCATGAACAAAACCCCGCGCCGGAACATACCTGCACCCCAAAATGTAAGCTGTGTGGACTCGATCACCTTGACGGCTAGCAAAGACTACCGTGAGAAGCTCAGCCCACCACCGCCGCCACGGCACGTCTGGGAGCGCCTTGCTCGGACTACGCCGACATTTAAGCAGCAGCCTCATCACCAGGTCCCAGCAGCTCACCCACCACCTCCCCCACAAGCGCAGGCCAACACCCAGCGAAGCCACTCCCCTTCGCAACAAGGAAGCTGGTCCGCAATTGTCGCCCCCCCCCCCCCCCCCGCCCCCCCCCCCCCCCCCACCCCAGAGACAGCCCCGAATGATTTCCCCCATTGCACGCACAGTTAGACTCTGTGCAAGATAAAAAACAGCTGCATCAAAATATTTGAACAGGAGAATGCGCAACTAAGAAAACAACTTGAACTGCAAGCGGAACGCACCGAGAAGTTAGAACGTGGCATAGAAGAGCTGATGACCCACTTAGAAACAATCTCAAATGTACCGCCGTAGAGTGCTGTGCAAGCAACGCCCACTCCGCACCCAACGCAACAGCCCTCCGTGTTCCCAATCCTACAAGATATTGGAAGGCTCGAAAGATTAATTCGCGACCTCGGCAAAACAATTGAACGCCGTATCAATGCGATTGAAAAAAAAGGCAGGAAGCCAACGAGACAGTCAAGCGCAAGACGCGAAAGAAGATCGAGAGACCCGCCCCCAGTTACCCACCTAGAATTACGCCCTCCGACGATGAATGGGAACAGTACCATGGTGGTGAACCTTCAGGGGTCTCCCTCAACACCACTGATGATTTGGCAATGGAATTGTCGCTCATACCGCGGCAAGCAAAATTCATTGTCACTGTTTGCAAACACAGATTCGCCGGCCGTCATCGCTCTTCAGGAAACTGGCACAGATCAGATAACGCTCAGAGGGTACGTACATCACCGATCCTGACTCACGAACGGCCACTTTGGTCATACACACCAAGGAATTAGCGTTAACCCAAGACTGCCAGGCAATTGACGCACACCTCTTACACCTACGGGAGGCCTGGCGAAGACTAACAAAACGCTGGAAAAAACGGAGAACCAATCAAAGCTTTGCCTTCGCGTAGCCCAGTTAGCACAAGAAGTGGCAACATATGCCATACACATCAGCCAGCAGAACTGGTCGCAGTTCTGCACGAAGCTCCAAGGTACCCTTGGCTCCCGGCGCACGTGGCACCTGCTTCGGGCCCATATGGGCAACAAACAATCCAGATCGGCCACAGCTGCTCAGCTCAGGTGGCCTATTCGTAATTACAAAGGCACAGAAGAAGAGCTCTTCAAGGAGCTCAATAAACCGTGGCATTATACGAGCGACAAAACCCAGCCTCTCCTCAACCGTACATGGGTACTACTTATCCCGAAATGGACGCCCCCTTCACGCTTGTGGAAATGGAAGCAGCGGTTTACAACTTAACCAGGAACACCACGCCAGGCAAAGACAAAATTCATGATGAGGTGATCCGGAACCTCAACGTCACCGCGTTCGAGACCCTCCAAAATTATATGAACGAACATTGAACTGCCGGCATGCTGCCCCCAATGGAAACCTGCTGATATTGCCCTAATACCAAAACCCGATAAACCGCTTGGTCTAGGTAACCTCTGACCCATCTCTCTGGCGTCGTGTGTGGGAAAGCTTCTGGAACATATGGTGCAAAACCGTCTCTCTCCATATATCGAAGACACCGACCATTTCCCGACCACCATGTACGGCTTCCGACCCCATCTCTCCACCCAAGATGTCCTCTTGCAACTAAAAGGAGAAATCACCTTTCGGCTCACCAGCACACACAAGCGTTCCATCCTTGCCCTGGCCATCAAGGGTGCTTTCGACAACATCTCCCACCAAGGCATCGTTCAAGGACTAACCTCTATCGTTGTGGACAACGAATCTACGACTATATCACGGCTTTCCTCACCGGTCGTCTTGCAACTATCGGTATCGGACATCTCCGTTCGAACACATCTAAAACCATCTCCAAAGGCTCCGTGATATCACCGCTTCTATTTAACATCCCTTTGAAGGACCTTCCCCGCTCTTGCAAAATATCGCGCATCTAAGGCACGCAATCTACGCGGATGACCTCACCCTATGAACACCTACGGGATCCACGGCGAGCAATAGGACTCCATGCAAAGCTCCATCGAATTAACACACCGGTATCTCAGCGCCAGGGGCCTTGAGTGTGCCCCAGAAAAATCCGCCCTCCTTACTCTCTGCACGAAGACGGCGCACCAACGTAAACCAAGCATCTCGGATCCGGAGATCACCATAGCTGAAAAACCTGTCCCCAACGTTCCCCACTTCCGTATTCTTGGCCTCACGATCCCCAAAAACGGATCGGGTCTCCATACCATTGCACCGCTTCAACGGACACTCTCACAACTCATGCACCTTACGCATCTAACACCTTACGCATTGTACAAGCCATACTCATTAACCGGGTCGCCTATGGCACGCCATATTTGGCCCTCAAAACAACCGAAAAATCAAAACTTAATATTGCCCTGCGACAAGCATACAAGACCTCAGGACAACCTTCCAAGACTTCAACGAATTATTTGGTGCGACTAGGAATTCACAACACCGGGGAATAGATACGAGAGGCACATATCATCTCTCAGTTAGGACGCCTTAAATTAACACCTACCGAACGAACCACGTTGAGAAATTTAGGCTACGCGACACCCCCTTGCAAGAAAATAAAGAACGAAGACCACTGCACCTAAGAAAAGCCATTCGTGTAGCCCAGATCTCGAAGAACGTGCATCCGGTTTACAATAAGGCTCGGCGTATCGCTAGAGCATGAACCATTAGCACCAAATACGGCGATAGCCCAACTGCAAGATATACACCAACACGTCCCCGTATCCGAATCATCCAGCCCATGCAGTATGTGTAATCAATGCAGCAGGGCAAGAAATGACCACCCTCACAGTCCGCACAACATCTACAGAAGCTGCCGAAGAAATTCCCATTGCCCTAGCCGCAACGACAGGCGACAATATAATAACAGTGCTCACAGACTCCCAGGCAGCATGTCGCAATTAAATACGGGGACGCATCTCCAAAACAGCGCTTCGCATCCTATGGACCGTCCCCAGGCTCCCCGAACTACACCACGTCTGGGTACCCGGACACGAATACCTCCAAGGTAATGAGGCGGCATATGCCGCTGCCTGCGCGCATACACACCGGGCCATTACCCAAGAGGGAGCAACCTCACTTTTTGCCCCCACGACCAACGCGCTCATCAAGTATGCCAACATACTAGCCCACTACCGTCACGACCGAAGAAAATACCCGGCACCGCACTCAAGACTATCAAGAGATGAAGCCACCACCCTCCGAAGACTGCAGACCAACACATATCCATACAGTACCCTTCTTCACGCCATCTATCGCACTCGATGCCCCGCCACCTGTAATCTTTGTCCTTCTCCCGGCAACCTTTACCATCAGGTGTGAGTATGCCAACGAACCCCAGACCTCACTCCTATACCCACCCCCTCTTACGAGCAGTGGATGGCCTGTCTTACCAGTCTGGACCATGGGATCGAGCAAGACCTGATGACGAGGGTCCGGATAGCCAGCCGCAGCCAGGGTATCCCGGACTAAGGATGCGCTCCATCGGGAGGGTGCCGTAACATCTGCACCTGATGCTCGCTAAATAAAGATTTATTCATTCATTATGTGCTGCAACGCTAGGGGTATAGCGTCTTGGGCACCTCAGGCGACAGATGGAAGCTTGTTTCGAAAGCAACCGACGTCCCGTCAGTTTTGCGTTGCAATTGGTTTCAGCTTCGAGGTTTGCGAAAGCCGGTGGCAGAAATCGCTCCCGAAGCGGTTCGCAAAAACGCGTTTTAGCAGCTCCACCCCAGCCGCTTTGCGTTTGAGAACGTGCACATCCGCTTCGCGGTTGCGGATCTGCTTCCAGTGCGAACCCGCCATAACCAATGACCAGACGTTCCCTACAACTCATAGAACACAGTGGACAGATGCTTGTGATCTGTTCGAATAACTGCAGCGGATGAAGCAGCCTTAAAATGTATCTTAGTACAGACCACTTACGTAGCTAGGCAGTGTGAATAATGTAACACAATAATAGGTTGCTAACAGGAATGATATTCGCGAAGCAACACTTCCTTGTACATCTTCATTTGGCAATTCACATCCACTGTGGGAGTCGTGGTTTTTTTTTTGTCGCTTGCAATGTCGGTCATTACAAGTATGAGACGTGTATTTCTCCTAATGCGTGTTTTTATAAAGCGCGGAAACATATATAACATACCTGCGTCACCCCTTTGCGATTTTTTTTTAGATTGTACAAGCTATACACACTAACCGTTCAGCACTAGTCGTACTCTCCTAGGCGTTCTGAACAGAAGCTTTTCCGTTGATGTAGTATTACTATTAGAGCGAAATACCATTCTACTTTTTTTGTTTGGCTAATAAATTCTGGTAAGTTCATCAGTATGCAAAATGCATCGGGACGCAGCATAAATAAAGTCGTATTTCAATGAATTGTGCGCCGCATATAATTATGTTTGTGTCCTACCCCCGTGACCCCATCGACATCTCGGCGAAAACAATGAGTTAACAAAGCAGCTCAAAACAATGGGTTGTGGGGTGCACCGATTAAACACCGTCTGGACGTTTTCTGGTCTTCTCGGAACTCCCTGCACTCGGTGCCGGACGCACAGCACTACGAGATTTGCCGAACACGGGAACCGATAGGTTTATCTTACGCTTACACAACGAATTTTATTTTTTTTTTGGATTCACACGAGTAGACGGTGACACGGACTTCGTCTCCCGGCTCCTATCACAACGGGCATTCCCCTCTCATAAACAGCTGTTCGTCCTTCTCGCACACACGCTTATCTAGACTCTCAGATTTCTGATCGCAGCGACACACGAGTCCGCACTTTCTGACGGAGAAAACACGTTCACTTATTTTCGCTTCCTGCTGCGACTGTTCGGAGGACTTTCATTTCCACCTACAGCCATGGACCTGAAACTTTTGAAGGTTTGTAAGCCTGTTACTGCACATCACATTGCAAGGAATTAGTATTTTAAGGGTACGTTTGCAGACTTTAACTTTGTACCCGTCATTAGTCGTATATCCTGTTATGGTTTATGAGCGCCGAGATGTTTCGAATGCGCTCTCTCATGACTTCCGTTCCTGATGTGACGACTAGAATTCGCGTCACTGTCATTGGCAGGATTTGTCTCTGCTCGCCGCGATTTGAAGGATGTGTTTCTCCGTGAATTTAAGATAGGGCAGACATAATCAGCACACAAGACGCTATGGTTTGGCCAATTACGAATTTGGACCACAGCGACTATACACGCTGATGAAACCAATCGGACAGCATAAAAAGCGTACCCCATGATGCTCATCATGTTTATGTAGATGATTTAACATCGCTAGACCAATCATCTACATAGACGGCCTAGTGACTTGCGTTTTTGACGCTGTTTGATCGGTCCCATTACCTCGTAGCATCGTTTGCGTCTGTTGTTTTAAAGTGGTGCATCAATCGTACTCATATACGTTAGTGTCTGTTTTTTCTGTGAAAAAAGTAAGGCATTAAATACTTGTTTCTTTTTTTTCTATGTGCGGGAGGAAAACAGATCGGGGTGACGCTGCTACAAACATGTGACACCACATTGTAGAAAGACTTTGAAGTTCCTTAGGGCTTAACACACTAAGGCAGATCCAGCGGATCCGAGCGTGTGTGGTACGGTATTTGAGTAGCGACGTCACCCCGGCGGTTTGCTACTGATTTCCTGCCGCAGATAAAATAAAATTATTAATTTTTCGAATTTATTTTTTAGAAGCCTACACTCCCAAGGTTCGAGTATGAATTATATTCAAATCTTGGGAGTGTAGGTTTTTGAAGGAAAAGTGCAAGTGCACCCCGTAATAGCTGCATTATGTTGTGTGTACGTTAATACAGTTGGAAGATAGACACCCCCAATGGGCATATGGCGCCTCAGCCGTAGATTAGCGACTTAATCAGCGCAGCAATTTGTAAAGGGTTCTATACCACTCGGTTCACCGAATTATGTATGCAATTTCTTCTCGCCAGAATAGCGCTCGACAACACCCGTTTAGTGTCTGGTTTCAAAGACCGCTTTTAGAAAATTATGGAAATTATGTGCAGGGTGTCCTACTCAAACATTGGCAAATTGTAGTTTCACAAAAAAAAAAAAAAAAAAAACTACTCATCGTCGAACGCGTAATTTCTACCAAAAGGTAGCGATTGAGGTCCGAACTGGATGCCGAGGTTTCAGTCTGAACCAATATATTATTCAAAAGTTTTAAGTTTTTTCTGAAAACTTCCTTGGAAAAATGGCGGCCGACGCAGCTCACTAGTATTACATGGAGCTCTATCGCACCAGAAACCGAAAACGGGAATAAATGGGCCCCATTTTCTTTTGAAATTTTCAGAAAATCGCTTATCAGTTTTGAATAAGAGATCGGTTCGAGCTAAACCTTTTGTATCTGGTTCGGACCTCTCTTTTGGGCCCAGAATGAGCATTCGGCGATGCGTACTTATTTCTATATATTTACTACATTTATGTTACTATAATTTACAGATTAGATCCTTCGAGGGACTGTGTGCAGCTACATACACTCCATTTGACGACCAAGGGTGAGCAAGAACCGGGGCGAATACACTACCAAACATAACACTGGAGGAACGGTTCTATCAGGCTATGCGAAACGAAAATTGGCACGACCGCCGAGTCATGAGATGGTATTGTGTAGTGCAACCTTCGATGGGAAAATTCTTTATACAGGCTCCTGAAGAAAGTGCCTATCCCGTCGCAAAGAAACTATTAAAGCGATCTCAGGTGTACGTTCGATATATTCATGTGGGTTTAATGCTCCGCCATGCACTATATACCTGAATCTGAGTTTTTTTTTATTATTCGATTTCTCAACGAAAGTGTTGAGCGGTATTGTGATCCATAAGTGAAGCAGCCTTGGTGGCAAGGAGGCCTCCCAGCTTTTGAAACAGACTGTATTTCAATTAGAGCATGGCAACGATCATTCTTCACATTGTTTGAAATCTGAACTGAATAAAGGAAGACCAATGATTAATATACTGGGTGTATTCCCATGCGTTATAGACTCAAGGATCTTCGAGAGTGCACCAGGAGACCACGTACAGCACTCCAAAAACATACTACACATTTTATTTTGCAAAATTATTTTAGACTATATACTTTCAGTTCCCTTATTTTCAGTAATAATCGTAAAGAGACTGGCGTCTCATCAATACTTTTTTATTTTTTAATTGTTTGAAAAGGGTCTAGGAGTGTACTGCGGTGAAGTTATTCCGGTTATTTCAGCAATTATGTCGAATAATTATTACAAGTACCAATACCTTTTACTAGATGTTATATTGTTAGAACAACGAGCAATTATAATATTGTTTTTTAGAAATGTAACGAGACGCGGTCACTGAGAAATGGGTACCTTCTAATTATCGAGCATATAAAGTGGTGAAACATTAAACGGCATTGCGACACCAATCTCATACATAAAACTGTAACTAGAGCTTTACTTCGTGATTCATTCGGCGGCCGCTTTATGCGGGAAATTTTGTTTATTATCGCTATCGGGACTTTTACCGAGTATCAGTTTCACGCCAACAGCTCCCACAGTGACCACGAAACGTAGGATAAGTCGCGCGGATTCATCGCGAAGTTAGAGGCGCACGACCGTGTCCCGTTATCTAATATAGCAATGAATGACAATGTTTGGTCCGACACTAAGACTAGACAAACAAAAAAAAAAGCAGCCTGCGGGAAAAAATAAACGCCCAGATAACGCCCTCGAGTTCCAAGATAACAAAGCTACGACCGCACACAATTCTATACATCCCTACAATCTGTGAAAAAAAAAACACTCCTTGAATTATGGATGTCCTTGAAATGTTACATTTATAAGACAGTAAATGCAATCGAAGAGCTTCGCCATATGTCCCCTGGTGCACATTTGAAGTTTAAAGAAATTAAAGGGTGCTGTTGCACCACATTCTTTATGAAAATTGTAGCGTGTTTTTTAAGAAGCTTGAACTATATTAAAAATTAATATATTAAGTAATTTTAGCCTACCATCCCCCCTTGACAGCAAGACGAAGGTGATAAACTTGACAAACCCCGCAAAAGGGTTGACTTTTATCCTCATAATAATTTAGAAGATTCTTAGAAATTTATGTATTAATCGGTTAATCGCTAAGTTAGTCAAATACTTTTACGACCCTAGCAACTGCTATTTACTATGAAATAATACAAGCACTTAAAATAATACAAAATAATAATAATAAAAAATAATACAAACACTTAACCAAGCCTGGAAAAGCACCCTTTCGCTACATAACTCTTGTTCATACTTCCATGCATCGAATTTTCTTCATTTCGTTATCTTTTCGTAACACCGACTTGCCAGACAATATCTGAGTGAAACGGGTAAACTATTATCATTAAAACCCAAGTTGTTTTTTTCCACCAGAAAGGTGAATCTGGATGTCATTGACAAATATGTGCAACTTTTGCGGAACCAAGGCGTGGCAGGAGCCTTCGGTGAGATTTTGAGTGGTTTTCATATCTAACGTTTCAGGAAAGTTTGTGGTTTAAAAACTTATCATAAAGCATTATTCTTTCTCGACAGTCAATGGCACGACTGGAGAAGGACTTTCGTTGACAGTGGATGAAAGGAAAAGCATCGCAGAAAAGTGGGCATCAGCATCAAAGGGGAAGTAAGTCTCATCGAAACTAGTGAAAGCTAAGTATACAAAAAATTCAAACTTCCTCCGCTCTTTGCGTTCGTGCAAGCTATGAATTACGTGTAAATATATTAAATGGTTAACTTAGTCTTTATCGGATTTTTGGACTAATTCCTGAGCCTACTTCAGAATGTGTGGAGGCTCCGAAATGAAAATATTTTATTTATTAACCAATTGTCACGCAATATAGTAATTGACAAGGAGGAGCTTGAGTTTGCCCGCCACTAGCGCGAACGTTCTACCGACGTCAAGGCTTCATCGTCTCTCGCACCTCGAGCACGCGGCCGCAGCCGAAATACGGCGGGTGGCACAAAGCGCGGGCTGGATGCCAGGTGTTCAACAGACGCAGATTCCAGTACTCACTGCTCAAGATGAGGGCGTGTTGAAACGTTTATGGAAGATTTATTATACTGGCACCAGAGTATACGTAATTATTCACAGCATACTGCGTCCCAGAACAAAGACATTGTAGGACATTTATGGCGCATTCACACTGGAAGTGGATCCGCGTTCGCGAACTGGTTGCGGATGTGGTTCGCGAGCGATCCCGTTCAGACACACCGAGATGCGGTTAGCGGATTCTCGGTGATCACGCGTGATCTTCTGAGACTTGCCCTTGGCAACCTTGTTTTACAATCCAAAATCTACTTTAATCCCCGATCAAAAGCCAACACTTTTTTTTTCTATTTTGGCACTCTGGTGATTTATCTCCGGGAAGTTCGCACGCATCACAAGTTCAGGCAGTGATTTCCTCGACTTCGCCCACAAGCAGAGCCCAGCTAGGCGCGCCTTGCTGACTCAGAACAGGATGTCTCGACCTTTTCTTCGAAGTTGACCCTTCCCGCATGAATAACCTCGTTTTCGAAATAGAAAGCCACCTTTCCCTTCTCGTTCGCTCTTATTATTTTCGAGGTTCTGAGCGGTGGGGTGGACCGTGGTGAGGGGGAATGTGTTCAGTGCTAGGCGGATGTGCCTTCGTTGGTGGCGTACTCTCCTCTCGTCACTCGCACGCCGATCGAGTGTACTGTTTGTTTGACATTAAGCTCAAATAAGCGCCGTCTGGATTACTTCTGCATTGTCTGGTACGTGCATCTTATTTCTTGAGTATGTTCTCTTTATTTTTTTGATTAGTGGTAAACGTTACAGGTCGAGCTAGCGCAGGTACCCTGCCCCCTCCGCGGTAGTGCGTTGGATACGCAATCAAGCTCACGACGTCTCTATGGGCCTTCGGGCTGGTCATGCACCATGTCCAAAGCTTTCAATGGCGCACGCGACTGTCTTAAGGGGTGTACAAACAGGGCACTACAAAACGCATGACTCCGACAAATCGTGAAAATTGAAGCGGGCGGGTCCGCTTCAATTTTCAAGATTTGTCGGAGTCGTCCGTTTTGTAGTGTCCTCTTTGGGCGCCCCTTTAGTGGGTACAAAAGCGGATATTTCGGTAGATCAGGGACGGGTTCCGACGTTCTGTGTGCAGAGACTAACAAGGCAGTGAGCTTCGGGCTATAGCACCAGGAAAAATAAGCAAACTCTTACCCAGACCAAATCACCGGCGCGAAGCCGTTAAGATTACGAGTCAATTCTTTTCGCGGCGGATTCAATTGACGGACATGAACATCCGGTTTCTCCATTTATTTGTCTGCCGTAACGCTAAGAACACACCGCCTTGTACGCCTCACCAGCGACAGGTGCCACCTTGTTTCGAAAGTCACCGACGTCACGTCAGCGTCGCGTTGCGATTGGTTGTCGTTTCGCGGTTCGCGAAAGCGGTCGGGGCAAATAGGTCTCGAAGCGGTTGGCAAAAACGCGCTCCAACCACTCGATTCCAGCCAGTTTGCGGTTGAGAACGCGCGGAACCGCTTCGCGTTTGAGGATCCGCTTCCAGTGTGAACGCGCCATTAATGTGAAAATTGTAGTAACAATTTGTATCACATTTTCATAAACAAGCACGAGTATAATGAGGTTCGTTTGCGCCATCTATTCATTTTCGTTTTACTAACACGGGAGTGCAATAATCCCGTTTAGAAGAACTTTCGAACTTCCACTGATACAACAAGGCCCAAGAAATAATGTTTGAAAGAAAGACTTGTTTAAAAGAACTTCACAACTTCCACACGTACGACAAGGTCCCAGAAAGGAGCAACGTGCAATGTTAAGACATAAAAAACCAAATCTTGCTTTCGGCACATTTTTTACTGATAATTATAACGGTATGGCCCGTTTTTTACTAGTACCTATAGTTCTCAATGAATACATCATTGTACGTATCGCACAACTCATGTATAATATTGGTATAATCTTCGGACTTTTCTCAGGTTGGATATGTTGATCCTTCACGTTACAACCAGCTGCATTCTCGAAACTCAAGAACTGGTGAGGGTCCTTCTCATCACGCTGAAGAACCGAGCTTCAAACCTCCAGTCGAAAGCAGTAGGATTTACAGTGTCCTAAACGTAAATATATTCGACAGAAGTCTGGTTGGGTTAACATTATGATATGATAATACTATGACATTTATTGACGTGTACATAAAATAAGAAAAAAAAAACACCTCTAAATTATCCGATTCCTGCTCCTCATACACAGGTCACATTTGCTAGTGTTCAGTTAATATGCCAAACTAAGAGCACTGTCATAAGCCTTCTCAGGTCGCTGACGTAATTGTTGTGAATGTATTACATGGATGGCAAAATTGCGAAAGATGAGCGCTTATCAACGAACACAAACGCACCTTATTGATTACGCTTCCACGCTCAACGAGTATGTTCAGAATTATTATCACACGAAATATCTTCTTCTGTTATATCTACTGGAAAAAGCACCTTCGCAATGGTGATGCAACGAAACTTACAAGTCACTGATAACTACCATAAAAGGGTTTTTCACACGCACAGCATCACGGGCTCACATAGGGATTTCAGTTCGGTTGCATGATGTTCCAGATTATTACGCTCCTGATAGATTATGCTTGTAGTTTGTATTCTCTTCAACCTTCTGAACAGTATTAGGGACAACACTTGATTTCTCCATTGTATAAGAATTAACTGGTGGAGTAGTTGGTTAAACATCAAGAACAGGAAGAGAAGAAGGGGAGTGAACAAAGTGTTTACTTAACACCGATCTGTATTAAAGAAGTTAGAAAATGTCAAAAAGGAAGTGAGGGAGTCATGAGTGAAAAAAAGATTTCGCCCCAAAGTCAATACGACAAAAAAATACCACTGACAAGCGTGACGCACGACACACGCACAAGTACACCATCTGCTGCGTTAGCAACGTGTATCGAATCCCGTGCACTTGTGGTAAAGCTATGTGCGACAAAATGCCGTTGTGTAAATGTGAGACTGCGGGAGCATGCCCTTTCGTTCAAATCATCACCATTTGGCCACTTAGCTGTACACGTGCGAGACTGCGGTTGATCCTCAATATTTGGCGATACGTTAATCCTAAGGAGCCTCACACAAGAGAGCTCGAGAGTTGTATGAGGCAAAAACTATTTTGTCAAAAGGTGCGTCATGTATTAGCGCACCGTCTATGGCACTGTCAGCAAAAGAACAGTTATACTTGCAACAATTCACATGACTTCGCTCAACATGTTTTATATTTGATTATGTTTCTTCTATTTATTTAAAGAGGCTTTCATGCGTTTATTTTTCTTTCCTTTCTTTTTCTTTTTCTTTCTTCTTTTCAATTGGTCTTTATCACTAATGATTCCCCCCACTTCTTTTTTTTTAATACTTCAATACGCGTCAGTTGTAAGTAAGCGCTCTTTACTGTCCCCTTCTTCACTTCCTAATCATTTGCACTTTTTCACATCAAACTTGTTTTCTCATTCTTCTACACAGGAATATTCTACAAGCCACATTTTTTTTCAATCGATTTTCCACAGGGAAACTGGGAACAGGCAAACTGGGACCTAATCCTCGCTTTCCAGCAGTTGACTGTCTTATGGCTTCTTAAAAACTGTTGACTACTCCAGAAGATATTTCGGCTTGTTTGGGTCGATATTGGCTTCGATAGATCATTTTAATTTATATAAAATTGGGAATTAGGAGCTTCAACCAATTCCCAAAGAAATGTCCTTTTTTCAGGCCAAGCACGCTGAGAGTCTCAACGTCGATGCGATATCTCTGCTGCCTCCCTTTTATTACAAGTGCGAAACCAATGGTACGTGGCCAAGCCTACGTATTGTGACGAATGACCAGTGATGAGGCGATAATAACTGAAGAAACTAAACGCTTAATGGGGCGAACTTGTGCCCAAAAATGAAAAGGGAACATAAGAAAGTAGAGCGTCGCGGGCGTCGAAGTCGGCGTGACAGCAGAGTCGAACGCTGGGGCGAAACTGACTCCGCTCGCCTTACGGAGTCCCCTTGTGGGTTTCTGGATCATTCGGCGTAGAACTTTCGGTCCGTAGAATACTCGGAACTAGATCAGACGAAAAATTTTTCGAATTTACGAGAAGGCCAAATCAAAAGAATAAATAAAAGGACAGTGCGCTGACTGGGAATCGAACCTACGCCTACCGCGCGAAAGTCAAGCGCGGTAACCACTCGGCCACGCACGCGCTTGCTCGCCGATGAGCGTGGCAGTATTAGTACCCTGGAATAAACATACGCTCAGAGCATCTACAAAAATATTATTCCTATACAATATGTTGTGGTTGCGTTTAGTAGTCGCAAACGTCGTGCTTGTAAAGTTTAGGTCTTGAAAATAATTATCTAAGTAGAGCTTCAAATTTATTATTTTACAGATGACTTCATCGCTTACTTTAAGCAGGTATCTCAGGCAGCCCCGAACACGCCGATTGTATACTACCATATTCCGACGTTCACTGGAGTAAATGGTGAGTACTTGAAAAGCACATTTCATACGTAGCGTAAAAACTTGAAACGGATGTTCAAAGCATTGAATGGTTCTAAAAATAGCGAAATAATAAAAACTGAAAAACAACTGCGAAGGATTTTAAATTTTTTACTGCTTTCTTTAAGAAAATTATGATAACAGAGATAAATATATAAAGATCCATGTCTATAGGTTAGCCTTTAGTGATAAATATTTGAGATGACTTAATATAATTTATGAGCTCCCAATTATAAATTCTCATCCATGTGGCAGATTCGCTTAATTTTCAGGGACGCCTCAATCGTGGCATAGTGTAGGCATTTGGAATAAAAATGTCTTTGCGCCAAATAAATAGTATGCTTTTAGGGGCGGAGAAATTTTATTTATTGGAACTTGTGAGTTTTAGCTAAGGGGCATTACGTTTTTTTATAAAATTGATGTTGTGGGCAGTTAAAATGTTTTGTATGCGTAGCATACCAGCTAAATTCATTGAGCTGAAAAAGGAGTATGCTTCAACATGCAGGAGGTTTAATGACACTTTCAGGAATATAGGGGTCACTAGATGAAATATCCGCACATGGTTCTAAGTCCTTTCATACAAAATGGGCTGTCTTCAGAAATTGTGCATGTTACCCTATAAATTCGTAGGGAATATGCTTGCTATCAAGCGCTACAAACGCGTAAGAAAATCTGATTTGCAGTTTCTGTTGTGTTATTTCACCACATTTTTTAACGCAAATATACTTAGTCACCAAAATGCAATAGAACATCCACCTATTCCGAACCTTAAAACACTGATTGTATAAATATAATATATTTCGTTTTGGTTTCGCAATACAATTACTACAAAAGAAAACTGTATCCTACCTCGCTTGCGCTATGATTTCTGATCCTCCGAAAAGCAACAGATTAACTCAAAATGAATGACTAAGTGCATGTTTACAAAAATTGCCAGCTTTTCTTCTAACTGCTTGTGAACGAAATATCTTAGTATAGAAATCAGGCATGTTCTCAAATTTCGTAATCCGAATATGCAGCCTACCCAAAGTAAAATTAATGAAAATATTGAACGAGATTGCGAAGCCCCTTTAGTAATAAATAATTGTGGTCTCTAAATCGTGATTGTATGGTTCCCAAAAAGCTCACTGGAGGTTTACTGAAACCAAAGTACTGCTGAGAAGTGCTTACATATTAGGGCTGGGGACTTAACCGATTAACGTACCGATTAATTAATGACCGATATAATCTCGATTAATCTTTTCACCAGATAATTGGTTGATTCCTGACTAACAGAAAATTAAAAATCCCACCCTTTCACCAAGCAGATATGGATGAGTACACCTGTACGAAAATAAACTTTACTATAGGGAAAAATAAACCTTAACTGTAGGGGCGAGATTTTCAACCCTAACCAAGTGGAGAAGATTATTGGTGTTCCAATCACTTGAACCCCGTGCGGGAGTCCGTTTAGCGCAGCAGAGACTGCTGGGAACAATCAAGGTCGCCGTTGTCGGAGAATATCCACTAATTGTTTTGGCTTCTGCGGCTGAAGTAATAATTTTTGAGTCTGGGTGTCGTTTGATTGTTCTAAACTGCACTTAAAGGTTGATTTAACAGCAGAAATTGTAGTACGGGCCGTTTATCAGATATTCAGCAAACGAAACACGCTATTTCGACTTTTTTATACTATTGTGAATTGGAACGAAAGAAACCGATGAATCGATTAAAAGGTGGCGATTAATCTGATAGTATTTTTATTCGACGTCCAACCCTAATAAATGTGCTAATAATAATTATATTTTGCATGTTGTTTTCAGTAAAGCTAAGTGAATTCCTGCCCGCGGTTAGCAGTGCCGTCCCAGCCCTCTGTGCAGCCAAGTATTCCTGCTGCGATCTCAGTGACTTGGCGGGCTTTATGAGGACTGATAAGAAACTTTTCAAGATCTTCTTTGGGTACGAGGAGGTACGTTACAAGAGGCAACGGCTTTGCTTATTTAAAACAAAACTCAGTAAGTCTGAATCCATTGATAGAAACGAGCACCAAACAATATGCGGAACTGACACTTTGTGACGTCGTAGAAACGTTTAGGGCTATTACAGGGTGTTTCATGAAAGGAGCATAACTTCGATATTGCGAAAACTACGCGTCGCACCAAAACGGGCTTGTGTCGGCCTGGTCCTAGGCCAGGGGCCTATTTCGCAAAATTATTGAAGTTTGGAAGCAAAATTGTTGAAGTTCTTTTAATATTGAGTTTAATGGAAAGGTTTCAATTAGAATCTTGCTGAGCATCATCGAAAAACAGAAAATCAATACATTTCAAAACGATAGAAGGCACGCGCGCTATTGTACGGCCTTTTGAAAAACCGCACCACTTCGACGGGTTTATAAGTTTTGGTTTGCAATCGGAGCACATCTCGGCACCGACGGCACCGCACCCCATGAAGAAATAGTGCAGCCCACCTCTACTGCGCTGTCCTCGCGCAACGCAGCAGAGGCTTGTTGCGCTATTTCTCCACGTGGTGCGGTGCCGTCGGTGCCGAGACGCGCTCCGATTGCAAACCGAAAGTTAAAAACCCGCCGAAGTTGTGCGGTTTTTCAGAAAGCCGTAAAGTACCGCGCATGCCTTCTATCGTTCTGAAGTTTGTTGTTTTATTGTTTTTTCATGATGCTCAGCAAGATTCTCATTAAAACTATGCCCTTAAACTCAACATTTAAGAAATCAATTATGCGAAAATATGTAACAATTTATTATCCCAAACTTTATTAATTTTCCCAAATAGGCCCCTGGCCTAGGACCAAAACGACACAAGCACTTTTTTGGTACTATGCTTAGTTTTCGCAATATCGAAGTTGTCCACCTTTCGTGAAACACCTATATTTATATATATTATATATACTGGGTGTACTTTACAGATTTGTTTAAAAAAGCCGTGAAAGTTACACTTATGCAGTTTGTGCATGTGAGTTTTACGGCCAGGGGTACATAATATAGGGTGCTAATCAAAATGACCAGTCAGCTAAGTAATTGAAATTTGTTAGTTAACTTTTAATTAATGAAACTGGACATATGTTTCCAATTAGAAACTTGCTGAGCGTCATTGAAAACCACTAAGTGAGTAATTTTCAGAAAGACTTTGAGCGCGTGAGAAGCTTAGTAGTGCACTAAATTTACTACTCGTGGAGCAGATACAAAGCTAGCGTTTGCGGAATGTGGATGATAGGATTATCATCACGTTCCGCTACTGCTAGTTTTGCGCCTGCTGCACAAGTGGTAACTGTGGTGCGCTCCCGAGTTTCCCACGAGCTTCAAGCCGCCCTAAAAATAGTTGATTTAGTGGTTTTCGATGAAGCTCAATGAGTTTCGAATTGATACCATATGCATCTTTTCACTAACTAAAAAGGTAATAAACAAATTTTAGTTAATTAGCCGACATATCGCAAAGATTAGCCACCCAAAAAATGTCCCCCTGGACCTCCACAAGCCGCGTAAGCGTAACTTTCACGGCTTTCCTGAAATCAAATTTGTAATGCTTAGAAAAAACACCCTTTATTTATAATATACGTGTTGCGTTAATAGCCTCCAGAGCACTTTCTACGCCACTGTACTAAAAGAAATATAGGTCATTTGTTTTGTAAAGAGGGCTGGTATTCGTACATAAATTGGAATATCAGAAAGCCGCTAATCGCGATAACGTAAAAAAATATTTATATAACCTTGCTTTAGCCTGACCTGCAGCTCCGTCGCGGAATAATATTTGAATTTTCCACACTTTCCTAGGGATATATTATGCTCGCTTTTCTTTCTCAATCACCATCATGTTGGATCTCTAACCGCAGTTTCGCAGTTTGGGTTATTAGACGCACCATCTACGTCTACCGAAACGTCTACAGCTATCCTGATGTGCTGTTTTATACTACCATTCTTTTTTCATAGACCTCAGTTATTCGAGTGCTGATTAGTTTCAACTTCGACAATGTATTTACTGTCTTACCTAATAAACTCCCTTGTCGAGGCCATCTGGTAGTGCAGAGAAAAACTCGAACTTAATACTATTCGTCAACAGAATACTGATATGTTGATGGTGCTAGGAGTGGTTTGGAAGCCCTGAATGTGAACTTGCCTTCTTTTCTATATCGGAGCCATTAACAATTGTATGTTTGTTCTTAAAAATCAGTTGTTTAATATTATTATTAATGCAAAATCTCATCGAAATATAACCCTCGCCTTGTGTTCTAATAAAATTAGCGTTATTTTGCAGATGCTCTTAGCAGCGCTTTCGCTGGGGGTTACGGCAGCAATCGGAGGAACATTCTCGTACCAGGGTTACTTGGCAAACAAGATAATCGAAGACTACAAGAAAGGCGACCTTGCTAAGGCCCGTTTAGAGCAGGTATGTTATGATCTTCGAAAAATTATATTTCATATAAAATCACGCGTCATACAATGTAGACAGTCACAACCTAATATTTCAGAACACAAGTTGGCGTCGTCTGGTTCAGTGTTCCTGTCAGGCTGTAACAGACTCACGTGTATGCAGACGCAAACGCCTACCTCTTCTGTGTTCACATTTGCTCTTCACTGATGTGTGTGCCATCTGGGATGAGCGGTAGAAAATGGAGATACACCGTCTTTGTCCGTTGCCCGACAGCCTCCTGTTGTAGGCGAAATGAATTGGTCAACTCTGTTTTTTTTTTCTTATCTCCAAACTTTGTAAGAGCTGTGTAAGTTCCAACATCTAGTGCAACTTTATTATGAAGTCTTAGGACCCGGTAACACGCAGTTTATATTCGTTAGTAATTCTAACATAAAGCAAGGGCCGTGATACCCTGGTATGATTTCGTTTAGGATTTTCGATCACATACCAAATCTGAGCGAACCTATAATCGATACAAAAAGCCTGCGTGACCGACTTACCATAGGCATATTTTTTATGTCGTTCCAATATTTTACGTAAGCACCTAAATATCACTAAGTAAGCGCACTTTTTGTAGAGCTATGTTTGGCTGTAGAGTTATTATAAACATTTCTTCACATTGTTAACCAAAAAGTTCGGCCTTTAATTTCGACAGATTTACGATGAAAATACTTAGTGATCGAAGTTTTAAAACACCGTCGTTGTTTTCTACCTAAACCGAGCGTGGAAAGCTAGTAGCACGCTAGAGTTTAAGATAATTTAAATATTTCACAATTATAAACAAAAATAGGAAAAAATTCCAGCCTCCCGGATGCTTGCAATCTCTGGACCCTAAAAGAATATTTAAGGGTGATACCTTGCTATTTATGTCATGTAATTTCCCAAGTCACTCTTTAGTCCGCGCACTTATTATCAAAAACGAAGTGTAGCATGTAGATGAAAGCTAAAAAGCTTAATTTGAAGGTTTATAGTTTTTCAGCGAAAATTGTAAGAACGTTACGAACTTCTCTGGTATGAGCTATATTTCATGATTTTCGATTAATTTTCTTTCAGGATCAATTGAAGCATGGGGTGGATATTTTGGCTAAGTATGGTAAGTGCTAGGTTCCTATCATGATCAGTTCATTCAACCCTTAAAATATGCGCATAAGAGTGTTTTTTTTCTTATTAACGTATTGCAATAAGAAATGGACCCTATACCGACACACTTGTGGAAAAAGCGTAGATGTAGGACGATGCACAGTTGAAGAAATCTGACGCGACTTCTTTCCTGTAAGGCACTCAGGAGTGCCAGTCGCGGCAATATACGTTGGGAGCTCGAGCATGAAGATACCGAAAGCATTCTTGGACGTAAAATATATTGTCGGTGCAGTTACACGAACCATAATATTTCACAGGTCATCTTCAGCGCAGAGTCCGTTTTTAGTTCCATACATATTTCAGCCTTTTCATATTCGCCGAACGTAAATACTGTAAATTCCGTAAAAACCCGTAAATAGCTGTGATTGGCTCTCCCAAGTGCTTTGCGAAAACGTAGACGCACTGGAATTTTTACAATGAAGTTGAAGGATTTTTTTTTTACTTTCATGGTTTGAATTAACTTATACAGTTCAAAAAAAAAAGCTTCTTCACTTTTACTTTAAAAAAAACTAAAACTTAGATCTAATAGCATTTAAGTGTGAATTACGTTAGCATACTTATGCGTGGATTAAACATTTTAAACGTTTGTTTCTAATGCCATGGAAATCGGTTGTTAATGTTATTGCAAGCTTTTTTTTTCAAATCAACTCTCTTCAGGCGTTTCATTATTTGTTGGTACGGTTGCTCAGGAGGCTAGACGTTTACACTTTACATCCTATCTCATTTAAGGTTACTGCGTTTCTACCCTCAAATCTGCTGGGAATGAACTATCCGGAATCAATTTCGGAGCCGTGAGGTCCCCGATGTCACCTGTTCCGAAGCTCCGAGCCAAAGAGCTCGGAAGTGAGCTGAAGGCCCTAGGTATCCCAATGAAGTAGATGCTTTTCCTCTTGGGTATCTTAGAGGACAAAACGTCTGTCTCGTCGTGCTTTATGGAAAGTAAACTTTGTCCGGAAAGCCTAAGCAATACCTACGACTTGGTATTGACCATTTGGCGTCGTGATTCCCCCAATCACCCCTCCCCCTTCATGAACACAAAAAAGATAATATAACGACGGAAGTTTATTACCATTAGCATACACATTAACACCATCGTCCAGAACCGCGCATTGCCGGCACGGGTTATGCGTGACTCATGCTCAGCTTGCGGGGTAGTGCTATTCCGGGGCTCGGCCAGTAAGGTCGTTGTTTCCGACGCTCCACTTATTCTTCCTTATGGGCACTACCAAAAAGTTCAACTGGCCAATATTGGATTATGGTAGCCATAGTCCATCTTACAACGTATGTCGGCATGGCTCCTTTTAACGCAGCATCTGCACAGGAAATAGCTCAGTTCTTCCTCGCCAACATAGTTTACGTTATTGGGCACCACGATTTCTGATAAGCTGTCGTGGAACCCTTCTTTCATCCGCTCTTGCAAAGGTGGCTCGTGTTGTTCCTCACAGTTATTCATCAACTCACATCCGCCTACCACCCAAAAAAAAGAGACGGTTTTACCGAAACTTTTATTCCAACCCTATTGCAAATGCTTAACATGTATATCTCAAACGGCTGTAAGAATTGGAACTAAATTCTGCCCGTCCTAAGCTTTACTTGCAACACTTATGATAAATGTAATGTACCACGGTATTTGTTTTTTCTATCCGGTTTGTTTATGGACGGAATGTGTCCTGTACCATGGATAGCATTTTTTTGTGCATTGAAAGCACTTTCAACACTTTTTCGCCATTTATACGCCCTGCCGAGCCGAAGACTGCCGTCAAGTTGCTCGCTTTTGCACCGTTCATAACCGACAACAGCGTAATCAGCATTGCGACGATGTTCGCTCTCCCATCACATATTATCCCGCGCGATCTTGTCTTGATTTAGACACGCGTACATACACCAGGTCTTCATGAGGAACTCATTCTCAAGTACCTTGGACTATACAATGTAGTTTACCAAACGTCCACAATCAATTATTCCGTGACCCCGCAAAGCCGTCAACCGATCGGAGCTGAGGGGCGCTCCAAAATATTATTGTCTGTCGCATGAAACCCTTCCTCCAGCACTCCGAACATGGCGCAAGTTGCCCCCCATCCCAACGACAGGCCAGGGGCCCTGCCTACTCTCTACAGGAGGAGCTATAACGGCGCAAATGAATCATCATTTAAACATGCATTACCATTGTCATCCAAAAATCGCGCAACGCAGGCATTGACGATGCGAGGGTAATGCCCGAGCGCGCGAGGAAGTGCTGCTACAGGGCTTGGCCAGTGAAGTCGTTGCTTTCGGACCACCGTACTTTGTCTTCCATATAATACATATACAATATACCCTGTAGTGGCTTGCATATATATATATATATATATATATATATATATATATATATATATATATATATATATATATATATGAACAATAATCATTAATTCTATTGAAAAAGTTGTTAACCCTATTGAAGGTTACATATGCGCTTATTGGAAAGCATAATATTTCCTTCTACAGACTCCAGGGTCATTCGCTGGATGTTGATAAGGAAGGCGAGAGGAAGTTTAAGAGCCAAGCCAGTCTTTATTGCACAATAGACTGGGAGAAAAACTGCGCGGGCGATAACTCGGCGTGATGTGAATGAACCGCGTCAGCTGGTTCAACATTTCGCTCATACTGCGTTGGGATTGACTGGACATTTCGGTAAAATTTATCACGTGACCTCACGGGGGTCACGTGGGGAATTGTTTGCGCTAAATTTAGCGGAAAATTTTCCCCGGAAATTTAGGGGAAACATTTCTCCGCTAAATGTAGCGGGAAATTCAGCAAAAAAATTCCTGCTAAAGGAGGCGAGCAGGCGAGGAGGAGGGGAGGGTACGGATGAGGAGGAGGGGCGTACACTCCTCTCCGTATCTTCCCCTCCTCCTCCTCAAGAGCTGCGCTTTAATTCGGCGTTACAAAGAATCCAAAAGTCTTTAGTTTTTTTTGTGCTAATGACTATGCCTGCATGCGCAGTGCACCCCCCCCCCCCTTCCACTCTTCCTGCCCCCCCCCCCCCCCCCCCCTTTACCGATAAACTCGAAACACCAATAATATGTCTTCGTTTATTCAGCTAAACCAGATGTCAACAAACCGCGGCCCGGGAGGCAATATCGTGTGGCCCTCCAGCACGCTACCAGAAAACACCCTCCAAAACAAAGAAACAAACAAGCAAACAAACGCACACACACACACACACACTCTCTCTCTCTAGGAGCAATGGTGAAAAAATATAATAGGTGCAAATATGGTGCAATGGAACATATTATTTTCCAAATGACATGCCTGGGGTATAGTTCATTGTTCACTTTCATATATCAGCAATTGTTGTCAATCAGAGTGTTGCATCTGCATTCAATAATTAAGCTATGTCTTATCTAGCATAAATGTCCGGAATCACGACTTGTACCATGCATCGTTCATTTCAACAATTTTGTCGCAGGGAAGCTTACAAGGGGCTGTCCATTGCTACGCATAAACAACAAGATCTTTACTGTTTCATTTTAGAGCGCAGCTCTTAGGGGCCCGTTTCCAGCTTGAGCGGCGTCGGCGTCGCCGTTGGCGTCGCCGTTGGCGTCGCCGTCGGCGTCGCCGTCGGCGTAACCGCGCCCCTCCCCCTCCTCCTCCTCCGCCCCCTCCTCCTCCCCTCCTCCTCCTCCCCCTCCTTTTCCTCCTCCTCCCCTCATTGTGTAGTATGGTCCGGGCGGGTCACGTGACCTCGGGGGGAGGGGGTCACATGACCCGTTTCCAGCCTGTGCGGCGTCGGCGTCGGCGTTGGCGTCGGCGTCGCCCCTCCCCCTCCTCCTCCTCCTCCCCCTCCGCTCCTCCTCCTCCCCCCTCCTCCCCCGCCAAGGTCACGTGACCCCGGGGGGTGACTCCCCTCCCCCCGCCGAAGTCACGTGACGGCCCGCCCAAGGTCATGTGATCCCGTCCCCTCGAGGTCACGTGACCCGCCGGACCTCTCCCCTCCTCCTCCTCCCCCTCCTCCTCCTCCCCTCATTGTCTAGTATGGTCCGGGGGGGTCACGTGACCTCGGGGGGAGGGGGTCACATGACTTCAGCGGGGGGTCACGTGGCCTCGGGAGGGTCACGTGACTACCCCCTCCCCTCCCCCCCAGAGACAAGGAGGCGGAGGCGAGGGGAGGGGAGGAGCTTGAAGGACGAGGAGGTGGTAAAGGAGAGGGAGGGGGACCAGGAGGGGAGGAGGACTAGCAGGCATGATCACGAGGGAGGAGGAGGAATATACCCTCCACTCCTCCTCCTCAAGAGCTGCGTTCCAATTCGGCGTTACAGGAAGTTGTAAACGGCTTTCACTTTTTTTTCAGCTTCATCAAAACTTTTTCGCAGAGCCTCCCTGGTTCTCATTGCATGTACGACTTGGCATTGCTGTTAGCTGATGTTTCACACCACCCTTATTACTGGAACGTATAATTGCAAAGGAAAGAGAAACTCATGGTAGTATATGCTCTTAGATGCAAATGTTTTTGAGCTGAAGCTCGGGCTCTCCTAACACCAGGAAGATCTATGAACAAAGAATCTAGATACTTTTCCTTTGTAGAGAGTCTTTATAGAAGGAACAAGCACACTGTTCTATAAATAAATGATATGTATGATAGTACGCAATCTACTGCAGGGTCGGAATTGGATTCCGGGATTTTCAAAAATACTCAAACGACGTTCACATTTTGTTTTTTTAAATTCTGCTCAAGACAGTTTTTGGCCAAGTTCAGAAGGATTTAGAGACAAAATTCCCTGATCAGTTGATGCCCCAACAGATCATGGGTTGTAGGATGCATTTTATACGTGCGACTTCGTTAAGTTTTGCTTTGGCCTTCCAGAACCAATGATTTTAAATCTACGAAAGCCAGCATTAGCTTTCATTACAGAGTTCCTCATAATATGCACATTTGCGAAGGTACTTTCTTTAGATGGAGAGCGTAAAGTCAATCATGCGTTTGTAAAGGGCCAATGACCACCTCCAAAACGTTTTACGGCTCTCCGTTAGTAGCTTTAATGATGAATGTTTGAGTCTTGCAAGCAACATTGAGTACCGGAACTCCTACCGAGAGGAGGTCTTAAGTTCAAGAATCAAAGAAACAATAAAAACACTTAGAGACAAGGACAGACCTTGGATTTTAAGTTATGTGTGCCTAAATCAAGAAAAAAGTGCACGTTACTTCAAACTTGAGGAAGTCCTTTTTTTTTCATTCGCACGCTCCCCCCCTTCTTCCCTGTTTTTTATCCGGACCGCTTCGTCCCTAATTTGCCGCGGTTTGGCCCGTGGCAGCAAAAAGTGGCCGACGCCTGAGCTAGAGCAAAGGGTGGTATCACTCGACAGTGGTCATGCTGAATTGATGGCAAAGTCATCGCACCCTTTTAACAGTGAAACACGGAGATAAAGATACCCACCGTCATTATAATTGGTTGAACCAATAAAAGGACTAACCAATGACTGGCGTCACGAGTGCATTTCATTACTGTATAAAAACAAGGTCATCTCCGAATAGGTCGTACCTCTTAGGAGCAACCTTGAAAGCTAAGCGCAAGATCTCCTGCGATAATAACAACGTTCAGAGGTATACTACCAGGGGAGTCCTAAAAGCAACAATCCTTATTTTGTTCTTCTTATTTAGCTCCGCCGGTGAAGACGACGACAATTTTTACAGGGCAATGGCATTGCAAACTCGGCACTAAAAAAGTGGACACTTCATGTTTGGTATTTATATTTCATCATCATACCTTGGAACCGCTCGCCATCATCACAGGCACGGCATCAAATAAATATTTATAATTGGTTCCTTGACAGCATCACGTGCCAGTATGTACATAGAGGCATTTCTGCGTATGAAACCTTACTCGCGCGGTAGTTTAATAGAGTTGTTTATTAGTTTTTTTATTCTTAACCTTCTAATATTCTTTTATTTAGGTGCTGTTGAGAAACACTAACAATATGTTTGTCTTTTGGACACTTAACAACAGGCCAGCTAGTGACTCTTTATTGAGTCCACGTCTTCTGAAACTGTGTGTTTTGATCCTTTTCACCCTTA